AACAAAGCGATTAATTTGTTACTAACCTCTTGGTCGAGCATCTGGCTGATGAACGTTGGGTGATCTTCTCCTTCATCGCCAATATTTACTTTGATCAGAGGGTCTTGCGCTTGAGCGTATCCAGGTTTGGCAATCCGCATCACTTCGTCGTCCAATTCTTTTGTAAGTACTTCCTCTTCCAAACAGTCCACCTTGTTGACTTCTCGGCCAAGGTTTTGCTCTAACTCGAATACTGCCAGTCTCTTCCTTCGCTTTGTCATTGCATTCCTTATTGAAAGCCATCAGTCTGGCTTTGAAGGCCTGAATATCGGTCATTTGCTTTTGCAACTCAGAATCCATTTAAGATTCTTTGATTATTCTTTTGCCAATTACTGGCTCTTCCAGGGCCACTATATTTGGCCTCATCTGTTTGAATATCTCAGTGAGTGCGTCCACTGAGAATGGCTCTTCACTTTGCGCGACAACTTGAGTTTCTTCCCCGTCTTGTACCACCCTGACAGGTCCATAGTTTCCTTCGTACATGAACTTTTCCACCGAGTTTACTTCCGCGACAAAAGGCCTATGATCAGCCTGTACCACCTCTGCTTCGCCTTTGTCATTCCAAAAAATCAGGCATTGATGGAGCGACGAGGGTATACAGCAGCTTCCGTGTATCCAATCTCTTCCTAGGAGTACATTGTAACTAGTAGGGCCATCTATTACAAAGAAGACAGTGGTCCAAGTAGTAGTACCTATAGTTATGTCTAAAGGCATAACTCCCTTGACTGAAGTTGCTCCTCCATTGAAGCTAGTGAGGATGACTTCTGTAGGAATCATATCACCCTCTGTCTTTGCGAACTTTCTCATCATCCTGGATGGAATGGTGTTTATAGCCGCTCCATTATCGATAAGCACCTTTGCCACTGGGATGCCGTTAACTAGAGTTTTAACGTATAATGGCCTTAGGTGTTTTGTCAATTTCATGGCTGGCCGTTTAAAAACAACCTTTTCGGCAGCCTCTATTTCTACTTTTTGCTTGTTTTCTGTCGAATTATCCCCTTGTGATAGGTCAACGTGTAGTATGTCACGCTGATCCTCTGTCTCCCGAATTTCCTTCTTACTTTTTTCTAATGCTTCCTCATCAGTTATCAAACCTGTAGGAGGGGGCATTATCTTCAGAGGTGATCCATACTTTTCAAAGCGAAGTACTCTCTTCTTCCTTTTGGGTGTCCCGTATAGTACGTAAAAGTCGAAAGGACGTCCAGATGGCTCCCCCAACAAGTCTACTTCTCGAACTCCCTCTTGGTGTAGTTGCTTAAACAGAGTGTTGCGCGACACTCCCCTCTTTTTCCTTTCTGCTTCTAGGTCGATTTCTTCTTCAATGTCTGTCATCCCATCGTCCTCTTCATCGTTGTAGGCCTCTCCAGAAGTCTGGCCTTCTTCACATACCAGCATGCAAGCTTCTCCTTCGTTGTCCTCCCTCTTTTCTTCCTTTTCTTTATTTTTGAATTCATTGGCCAGTAGGTAATTATTGGCCACGACAGGGGGCAACGTACCGAATTGGATAGCAAGGGACTGATCTGGATCTTCTTCGTCCTTTTTGTCCCTCTCAAACCTTGACCTCCCAGAAGAGGTTTCTGGCAGTTCCTTCATTGATTCATCTGTACCAGCATGCAGGCTTCTCCTTCGTTGTCCTCCCTCTCTTCTTCCTTTTCTTTATTTTTGAATTCATTGGCCAGTAGGTAATTATTGGCCACGACAGGGGGCAATGTACTGAATTGGATAGCAACGGGCTGATCTGGATCTTCTTCGTCCTTTTTGTCCCTCTCAAACCTTGACCTCCCAAAAGAGGTTTCTGGCAGTTCCTTCATTGATTCATCTGTACCAGTCTCTTTACTACCCTTGAGGACGTTCTGATTGGCTACCTTGAGTAATAGAGGCGCTTTGGGATGTGGCATTCCTTGTTGCTGCCTCATCATCCGTCCATAGTTTCGCTGGAAACGCCTTTGCTGGGTCCTAGTCATCTCATCGAAAGGTATTGCCCTTCCTGCACTGTATTGGAATGAATGCCATACATTTGGCCGGCGAGGTTCCGGCCTGAATGTTCTTCCAGTATCTGCTGGTCTGAACTGCCTTTCGAAATGTGGTCCTCTATAAAATGATGTACCTCGCCCTCTGCCAGGCTGAATGTTTGGGAAGAAGACAGGGCGATGAGGATGCTGCCATGTCCCTGGTTTCTCCGTGTCTCCATTTACTTCCCTTTTACACCTTGCACACAGGACGTTTTCGTCCTTTTTTGGTTATTTCCCTTTGATTCGTTCGAAGACACTTGGATGTGTTTTAGTGTCTTCTTCTCCATCGTCTATAACCAACTTGAATTTTGGCAACTTGTTCTTGAACCCAGACGTTACCATATTTACCCCAAGTGGCTGTGGGAAAGGATTCTCGTCCACTGCCATCTTTTTCTTATCGTCGAACGTAATTCATCCTGATTCAATAGCATCCTACAATACGTGACGGAAAACCAAGCAATTGTTAGTCAAATGTGACCGTGCATTATGCCACTTACAATATTTTTTACCCTTTATTTGTTCAGGGTTTGGCAATTTGTGCTTATCGCTCAGCTTTATTTGCTTATCCCTATATAATTTATCGAATATAAGGTCAGCTTTGGTCACATCGAACGAGAACGTTCTAGCCTTTATGTTTCCATCCTTTATGGGCTCATCTTTGCCCGATAGTCTAGGCTTGGCCATTATGAGACAAGTATAGGTATCCCTTTTACTAATTCGGCCAAACACATTTCGGCCTGATCGTATGATTCGTCATCGATGGTATGAACGTCAAAATTTGGGTCTCTGTAATAAGTCCCTTTACTAGAATTTTTCATTTGTTCTTCTCTTATCAGACGCTCATACCTAATCACATTCGCACTCAACTTGAAAAGGTCTGGAAATTCCTTGTCCTGAAACTTCTTTTTTAAATCGAAGTTCAAGCAACCTTGTGCAATCTTGACAAATTCTTTTTCGAGCAGAGGTACAAAACACTTGCTTCTTGCTGTTTTGAACCTTTGGAGAAAACTTTCTGCCCATTCATTTGGCATTTGACGTAGATTCGCCAAATCAGCCAAAGTGACTTCAGATTCAGTTTTATAAAACTGAGCATGAAACAACTGTTCCAGTTGTTGCCATGTTTGAACAGAGTTCGCTGGCAAGTTGATGAACCAGGAGAAAGCTACCCCTGTTAACGAACTAGGGAAAAGTCTCATTTTATGGTAATCGGTTACATCACCACTTTGCAACGTGAATCGCCCTATGTGTTCTAGAGTAGACAGCTCTCCTAAACCAGTAAACAGTGAGAATTCTGGCACTTTATACCCTCTAGGCCATGGATATGCTTGGTCTACCCAATTGGGATATGGCTTTGTGTATGTCGGCCTAATGACAGGACGCACCCCAAAGGCCATCTGATCCTGCACGATTTCCATGATCTGGTTCCTCAACATGACATTGGGATCATATGGAATTCCTACAGGCTGGTTAACCGGTTGATTTGCATGAGGTCTCATGTTTGGTCCTTGATTGGCAACTAAATTACCATAATTAGGTCCATTACCGTTAGCCTAGACATCTGTTCCCTCATTACCACGTGGAATATTATGTCCATTGTTTAGGACATTATCTCTCACGTTTGAATTACCCCTCTTGAAACAAAGTCCCAAAAAGGGGGTGTTCTTTTATTGGCGATGGACTTTACAATTGGGAATGAAAAACAACGTGCCTCCAAGGGGCGCAAGCACACGAGTTACAGAAAAATGTTTAAGTCTAAAAGCTAAGGAAATGAAAATTACATATTTCTCTGTTCGAGAGTTTTGGATTCGTTCCTTTGCTTCTGCGTCCTTTCTCCCTTTTATACCTCCTAGACGATCTCTTTGTGATTAACTAGCCTGAAAACTGCTTGATCCTCCTATAACTTCCCACTTTCTTTGTAGTGGCCATTTTGTCATGAAACTGCCTCTTAACTGCTGCCATTATCTTTCATCGTTCAACCGCTTTCGATTGAATTCCTTGAGTCGTGGAACGTAATAATGCTACTTTAACAACTGCCTTGATAACTGCATTCCTTGATAACCACGATGCGTTATATTTGTTGATACCTTGGGCGACTTGAAGGTTTGGATGAGAGTGGAATAACAGCTCTGGGCGATCGTATGACACCTCATTCGTTCAGATTCTGGGCGACTCGCAAACTTGGGCGATGGCGTCACCGCATTCTTGGGCCCCTTATTTGGGCCTTCACCCTAATTCGTTTAATTGGACTTCGTTCTTTGGACTATCTGATTTGAGGATCCTTCGATTGGGCTTTATTCCTTGGACTGTTCGATTTGTACTGAATTTTTATGTGTCAACAGAAGGTAAGTAAAAGTGTGTAAAACTATTGCGAAATTCTAACCTAATTATTTGGAGGTTCATAATCATAGCGAACCGTAAGCAAATTTTATCTTAGAATTTTGAAAATTTTAATCAAAGTAAAAATGAAAATAAACTCATTCAATTTGCTTTCACAAGTAACAAATAACATATATATTGTTACCATATCTAAATATTTAAATTATTAATATAGGACAAGTTAGTAATTTGATATAGCTTTCAGTAAAGCATATCAAATAATGTTGACATTTCATTTAAATATCAACTGAATCGGTTAAAAAGCCAATTTTGCTCCATAGTTTGACACTTGAATAGTGAATAATTAAAATATTCTATTAACCTACAATATCTAAAGGCTTCGTCAAGATTCCCCTTCACAAAAGGCCAAAACAAACTAAAACTGAATTTACATCAACAGATCTAACTATTGATTGTTTCTTACCTGAAGACCAGCACGAGCCGACCGAGAAATCGACTTTTTCTTATCCTTCTCCTTGTTGGCTGCAGCAGCGGCCGTAGTCTTTCCAGCTAAAAGCCCCTTCCCGCCTTTTCCGGCCATTTCCTCACCCTACCTTCCATTTTTTACCAAATAAAAGGGTAAATAAACAACAAACCGTTAATTGCATCACATGAGTATGACAGATGTGCCGCACAGAATCTTGTAAGCAATTATTTCGTTGTTCGTGCAGTTGTTTTTCCAACTTTTATTGGTTTTCCTTTCTTCTAATTCTTCACAAAACTTCAAGGAATCCATGGAAAGAGTGAATGATAAGAAAAATGTAAATCCATTTTATTTTTTCAAGATCTGGCTAGTTTAACCTATAAAAGTTGACAATAACCAGAAAAACAAAAATCAACGAAATCCAGAGACCGATTAAGTACCTTAGAAAATTGAAAGTATGAAATGAATAGAATAGGAGGGCAAAAGCGGAGATTATGAGAGATGGGAGGATTTGGTATTTATAGTTTAATTTTGGGAGGAATTTTGGCGGTTTGTTTGGGAGGGAAAAGCATTTAAATTTTTCAAGTCATTCCATCGGAGTAGAAAAAAGAGTAATGGTCCGTTTAATAGGCATCCAAATTCCATGGAAAACGGAATTCGTTTTTCAACTTTCACTTTTTGCCATGTCTAATAATTTTTTTTCATAGAATTCTCTTTCTTGGTTGTCTTGAAATCAAGACTTTTTTTGATTTTTCTTGGTGAAAATTGGAATTCTCGATTATTGTAGCACTTTTTTTACTTTTTACAATTTTTTTTGTTGGTAATGGAAACAAAATTTAAGAATTATTGTAAAAAAATTTCCCTTTAAGTAACAATTTTCATGTAAAACAAAGTCAAACGAACACCAAAAGATAGATAATTTTCTTGAATTTTTTTTTTTGGCAATGGAAACAAATTTCGTCCCCAATATCAATAAAATATATCAATTTAATTAACAATTTTCATGTAAAACAAAGCCAAATGGAGATCAAAAAATACTTTTATTTCAACATTTTCCCCATGAAAAATTATCCCAATCAAACACAATAATTTACAATTCTCAGGAAAACAATTTCTAGGCAATTCAATTCCTTGGAATTCATTTTCAATTCAATTTAATTCCATCTTTACAATCAAACGGACCCTAATATTCCACAAATTACAAGTGTATGGTAATTCTAGCCCATGTTTGAACTATATTCTAGGAAAAAATGCATTATTCATATCAAATCAATAAGAAATGTGTGGCTAAAAAGTAAGGAAAAATTTTAAATTTGCGTGTAATATTATTTTATTGAAAAACGTGTTGTTAAAATGATGTCAAATTACTGTTAAAGAACATATTTTTTTTGAAAATAATGTAACTCAAACAGGCATCTAATAAAGATAACGTATTTTGAATTAATCGAAAACAAAATACTAATTTTTTTTTTTAATCCATATGGGACATTCTACTCAGTCAGGTCGGGCTGATCAAGTTCTTTAAACCATAATTATCATACTTGACTCGGGCATTGACCTGATCAAGGTATGGGTCATTGGTCGGACCGGTGGGCCATTACTTAAAAATAATTTAATAATTTTTAAAGTATATTTTTTATTTTTTATTTTTTTGTTTAAGATAAAATTAAAACTTTCAAGTTCTTTGTCACTAATTTTTCTATACATTTAAATTAATGATTTTTTGAACTCATTTATCAGTGATAATGGTTAATGATAAGTGTGTTTTTGCACACTTATTTACATCACAAACATGACTTAAATACAGGTAAATTGATTTAATTGTTACTTAACTTTGTCAAATTCATGCAATGTAGAAAATTCTATGGAAATAGTAGAATTCAGGAGAAAAGAGCCGAAAAAGGACCAAATTGAAGAAAGAGAAAATTCAGGGACCAAATTGCAATTATCTGAAAGTTGACCCGATGAACACATCAAGCAATTGATCAAGCCAAGCACCAATTGGAAGTTATAAGGGACCATTGGGGCAACTAGGAATAAGAGAGGAGGTCAACGAGTGAAGGAATGAAACTTGAGGACCAAAATGAATTAAACTAGAAGCTAGCTATACTATGCGACCGCATAGTATAAAACCTATGCGGTCGCGAGTGAACCTCCAGGGTTGAAAAAGGGCATTTTTATTAAACCTATGCGGTCGCATAGGTTATGCCTATGCGGTCGCATAGGTATAAATTTTCTCGAATTTTGTACTTTCCTTATACGATTGCAACTCCTTTGGTAACCTAATTTGGATGGATTTAAATAGCAACAAGACGTCCAGAAGCGGGGGAACGACCAGGGAGAAGAAATACACTCAATTTGAAGGCAAGAAACACAATCTTGGGCTTGATTTCACAAGGATTCAAGAAGGAATTGAAGATTACACACAAAATTGAAGGATTATCATACGGGTGTATTCTTTATATCTTTTAATTTCGTTTTAATTCTTGATTCTATAATTATGATCATAGGCTAGGGTTTTTATTCATTAGGAAATCGATGAACCTTGAATTATTTAATCTCCTTTATTTCATAAAATCAATATAAAGTTTTGGTTGGACAATTGTTTGATTTATATGATTTGATTGCTTACATAATTATTGGCCATATGTTATGTGAGTTTAGATGATTTATTATTTGCATTCGAAAGAAGGGAAATAGATTTGATATAATATAAATTAACATAGGGTCTGCTTTGTGCAATTCATAAGGTGTTCATAAAAATTCATGCATTCTTGTATATTTGCATCATCCATAGAAATATAGACTGGTGGTGTGCAAGAGTAGATTCAATATATATCGAGAAAGTATATTGGATAGGTTTAGGAACATTGAATTGACATTTTTTCATCGATTCGTTGAATTTGTGAAATTAGGGTTTTTAATAGTCAATTGGGGATTCGAGATCCTAATGATTGCATTTCAATTTATTTCTATACATTAACTTCCAAAATTGCGTATTTACATTTTAATTGAGTTTTTGAGTCATTCAATTA